CCCGGTACTACGAAGAGGTACCAGGATTTGAGGAAAATGTTTTGGTATCCAGGGATGAAGAAAGAAGTGGTTGAGTTTGTATATGTTGGTTAGACTTATCAGAGGTCGAAGATTGAACATCATAAACCGTTGGGTCTGATGCAACCATTGAATATTCCAGAGTGGAAATGGGATAGTATTTCTATAGGTTTTGTGTCGGGTTTGCCGAAGACTGTGAGAGGGATATGATTCGATTTGGGTAATTGTGGATAGATTGACTAGATCAGCTCATTTCTTACCAATGAGGATTAATCATTCTATGTTAAAGCTAGCTGAGATGTATATTGAGGAAGTTGTGAAGTTGTATGAGATACCGTCGAGTATTGTGTCTGATAGAGATATGAGATCTTCATCGAGGTTTTGGGAGAGTTTGCAGACAACTTTGGGTACTATGTTGAGGTTGAGTTATGCCTATCATCCGCAGATGGATGGACAGATAGAGAGAACTATCCAGTCTTTAGAGGATTTGCTGACAGCTTGTGTGTTGGATCAAGGTGGATCATGGAATAGTCATTTGCCATTGATTGAGTTTACCTATAATAACAATTACCATTCTAATATCGGAATGACACCGTATGAGGCTTTGTATGGTAGAAGGTGTAGGACTCCTTTGTGTTGGTATGAATCAGGTGATAGTGTTATACTCAGACCTGAGATTATGCAAGAGACGACTGGAAAGATCAAGATGATCCAAGGAAAGATGAAAGCGTCGCAGAGTCGTCAGAAGAGTTACCATGATAAGAGAAGGAAAGCACTTGAACTTTAAGAGGGGGATCTCGTGTTTTGAGAGTTACGCCGGTAACTGGTGTTGGTCGAGCTTTAAAGTCTCGAAAGCTCACACCGCATTTTGTTGATCCGTGTCAGAGTGGCGCAGCGGAAGCGTGGGAAGAGTAGCATGTCGTATTGCTTTACCGTCGTCGCTTTCAAATTTGCATGATGTGTTTCATGTGTCTCAATTAAGGAAGTACATTGATTCAGATGGATGGTGTACAAGTGGGAGATAATTTGACTGTTGAGGCATTGCCAGTTCAGATTGATGAACGAGAAGTGAAGCAACTGCGAGGTAAAGAGATTTCCTTGGTAAAGGTAGTTTTGAGAGGACCAGCTGGAGAAAGTTGGACTTGGGAGCGTGAAGATCAGATGAGGGAATCGTATTCGACTCTGTTTCCTTGAGGTAATTTTTGAGGGCGAAAATTCTTTTAAGTGGGGGAGAGTTGTAACACCCCAAATTCTTGGAATATTTATTTAATTTATTTAAATATGAATATTCGCATTTTTGGTGATTTTCGGCGGTTGGTGTGAAATATTGAGAATTATGAATTTTGGGTTATTTATTTAAATAATAGTATATAATATGAATATATTGGTATTGTTATTAATTTAAATAAATATAAATTAATTAAGGGCAAATTGGACAATTGGGGAGGAGTTAGTGAGGGTAATATTGGAAAGCCCAATGTTAAGGCCCAAGGTTAGGTTTAACAAAAAGGAATTATAATGGGATTAGGATTCACTTTGTTAGACCGTGAAAAGAATTGAAGTCAGAGCTCTGAGGAAGAGGTTTGAGGCAAAAGCTTCGAAAGGTTTTCTGAAAGTCAAAGAGAAGGAATAGAGTCGGCAATTAAGGTATGGGGAGTATTACCTTCATTGTTTTCAATGTATAATTTTGATGTATTTAAGGCCGATTTAAGGGTTTAAAGGGTTTGAGGCTGATTTCTGAGGTAAAGGGAATTTGGCCTTCGTGGCCTAAATCTATTATTGAGATTTTAACCGTAAGGATTTGAACTGATGGTCTAATAGGTTCGAGGCCGATTTGGGTTTTGAAGGAAATTAGGCCTTCGTGGCCAAAATTATTATTTGACATTTTTATAACCCGGTAGGGTAATTAGATAGTAAGAAACTCTAATGATTGTGGTGTAGTTGTAAGGAGTTATGGGAATTATAGCGTGAATATGATACGGGATTGACCTAATAAACCGTAAGTTTTGTGCCTCTATCGTCGTAAGACATTAGGGATGTTTTGGGGGCATTGGGGAAGTGAATTATGGGGCTTTTGGGCTGATTTTAGGTTCTGGTGCGTAACAGCATTTTGCTGTCATCGTGTTGTTCGCACAACGAACAATTTTGTCCCAGATTCGCACTGCGAAGAATCCTTCGCACAAAGAACTTGCTAGCGAACGTAGCAGAGTTTCACGAATTCTGATTTTGTGCAACGATGCCTTGATATTTTGATGTTGTGATTTATTTGACGAATAAATATGAGTATGACTATGAATTCTATGTGATTTGCACATGATTATATGATGATTCCTATGATGTAATGATTGATGAACTATGATGATATTTCCATGAGTTTTGATGATTCTATGATGACATGATTTTCGATGATGATGATTATGATGAATGATGATGCACCTATGATGTTATTATGAGGATGATTATTGACGTGTGCATCATGCATTCATGTGCATCCGGACTTCGGTTCAGGACCTTGATTACTTTGGCTTCAATCCCATTGTACGAATGTGAGGTATTTTGATGTGCTCTGATTCTCGAGTAGAATCGATCCTATTGATTGGGATCTATGGAGGGTTGATGGCCCAGTTCCCATCGAGCTTTGATGATTGGTACCACATGCATTGAGTCTTGTTGCATTTGAATTTATGAGATGATCTTGCGTAATTTATGATGTTGTGGCCTTTGATTTCCATTGATGAATATGATGATGTTGAATATGAAAATGACGCTATTTTATATATTGATTTCCTACATTGATTATTATGAATCGTTTTACTCACCCTGTCTATTTGAATGTTGCCTCCACGTGGGTAACGTGCAGATGACTAGGTTTAGCCGTGGATGCCGTTGAGGATCTTTTTAGAGTTTTAAGTTGTTGGCCACTTTGGTTAACGTAGAGGGTCTTGCTCTGATAGTGTAACATCGGGTTGGGGTCTTTGAGTTAAACCATGATTTATTTGATTTGATTATTTTGATTATGTTCCCGTATAAGGAAAACTTTGGATTATGCCTTTTTGAGTTTCGCTGTAATTTTTGATATCTTTTGGGAAAACCCGTTGTTTACGGAGCTTTGACCTTGATTTGAATTTATTGAGAAATGTACGCCCTTTGAGGTGATTTTTATTGAGTTTAACATTTTACTTTGATAAATTATATTATTTTGCCATAATATTCGTGGGGTAGAAAAGGGTGTTACAACATATACCTTTTCTTAGGCTACCAGGTTTGGTAGTAGGTCACCTTTCCTTTTGTGTTTACCTTTGTTTAGTCTATCATATGTTTGATAGTAGGTAACACATATTTCTTTGGGTCAAACACCTTTGCTTAGGCTACTGTGTTTCGTAGTAGGTGATCTCTCTTTCTTGTGTTTACCTTTGCTAGGCTATCATATGTTTGATAGTAGGTAATATGCCTTTCTTTATTTCAGCGGGATGCCTTTGCTTAGGCTATCATATGTTAGTAGTAGGTTATCTTTCCTTTCAAGTTTTCTTGCCTGTTGTTTAGGCTACCGTATTCTTGGTAATAAGTACTATACATCTATTTTGCTGAAGATATCACGTTGTTTAAGCTATACCCAATGGTGGTTGTTTGTCTCTTCCCCAGTGGAGTTGAATCTTTTTCCGTGGACTCTTGCTTTGTCGAGTCTATTCCTCGTCGGTTTCCTTTTTTCTATGTTGCATAAATCTGTACATAGTTATCCCCCTGTAACATCGTTCCCCACAGTACCTTTGTCTCACATTTCATATCTTATCATTTCATATCATAAGCATCTTTGTGGCATCTTAGAGTCATAAATTTGTGCATGTTTGTATTTAAGTCTCTCCAATCACGTTGAGACGAAGGTTTCAATCTCCATATCTCCGGATAGAAGAAACTTAAATAGGGGCATCTGTCACAACTTAATTTTTTAACCCTAAGATCCCGCCCATTGGTGTATCATCTTGCATACCCGCATGCTTTACTACTATCGAGTCTATGCAGGAATGTCGGTTTCAAGTAAAGATAGTATTTATTCTCTCAATCAAGTACTTCAAGACGGGACCGTTGGATCCTAATTCAAAGGGTCTCAGGATTTTTTGCTAGTTTGAGTTTGCTATTTCATTAAAGATTAGTTCAGCAATTTGTTTCGTGAAACTAAGATTTGAATTTAGCATCATGGGTACATTCCATCACCAAGACTTGTCAAAAATACTCTAAGACGAAGATGCTAGATTTCTCAAGTCGTTCCTTCGTCAAGACTATCAAATGAAGAAAACTTGCTAAAATAAGAGATTTGTTAGATTAAAGTGCAAAGTATGAGTTGTGATTAAGAAAATGAAGTTGCAGATTTGTCTGAATGCAAGAGAGCTTGGATTTGAAATTAAAATGATCATTCAATGATTACAAAGTGGCCAAATGGTATGACATGGTTTATGTTTTTCATATGGCATCAAAATTTATTCATAGTGTTTTGAGTTCAAATGGTTAGATTGATCCAGAACTAAAAATGCTACAAAAAAAAGAGATTCATAAAGATTAAGAACAAAACTCAAATTGCAAATTCAAAGTTGGCTTCTAAATTTCAAAATACATGAGTGGCAAACTTCCTTGATTGAACTTAAGAGGTTAAAGAGCAAGGTTTTTCTACTAATTTTATCAACAAGGTAGATTAAGTTTGAATAAGACTTGTGATCTCAGGTTGATACTCCAAGGATCTTTGTACAAAAATGGTATGGTCTTTTAAATATAACAAAGCTCAAAGCATAACTCTCGCTCTTTTAATACCAAGGATACTCAACAACTTGGGAAAATTACATTGTAAAGACAGCTTAACATTTTTGAATACATAATAATGGCAAACTAAGGAAGAATAGAAATAAAATGTCTTAGGTTTCAATGCCACCAAGGAATTATAATATGGAGTAGGTGCCAATAGATACTACTTTAGTAAAGATAGGTCGCGATTAATAACGCAAGCATGATAAGTAAGGAAGTCGCTCCGGATCATAATTTCCCCACCTCATCAAAGCTTCCACCTCATGAACATAAGAAGGCCTTTGCCGTCCGAAGCCTTCATGATCACCACCACCTAATTCCAAGACCTCTTCTTTATCCATGTATGAACCAAACCAGGATATTGACACAACAAACAAAAACAACCTGCACCAGACTGATGCGTGTAGTCAGTTATGGTTTAAGATAGCAATAAATCAAACATACAATTTACTACTCTTTCCAAGCAGCATACATTTAGTATTCAGGCTCAATCTTGGATTCATGACAATCTACAAAACCTCATAGCAAACTCATTGGTTGCAGACCATTAGCAAGATCGCATAGTGTATTTCATTCCTATGTGTTTTCTTTTAATCATATGCTACTATTTACACTAAGCATCCAAGCAGTCAGCCAACAAAAAATTATCATATCTCATCCAAGTTGACACTCTAACAGGGCCTTCATACCATATTAATAACAACAATAGTGAGTCCCTACAAGCGTATGGTAACAACATTCATTCAAAGAAACGAATAACAATTCACATGCCTCTACACATTGGTACATACAAGATCAAATACACAGCAGGACAAAAATTCAAGTCAAAGAAGAATGGAAAAATTACATATCATTTCCTACACAAGATAATTCAAGTAGACATCATTAATAACAATTAGCAGAAGTTTGAAAACACACAAATAATAAAGGTGATAGTTTAAAATTTCAGCGATTTACGTGCAGTATCAAGAGGTTAGAGTTTAGGACGCATTTTAAAACCAACACAGTAACGGATAGAACATTAGCAATAGTCAGAATAGGGAGGATACCTATCTTGGCTATAGAAGTTGATATGCAAGTTGCCTATACTATTACACTTGTTTTTGGAGGAGTTATTCCAATGACCGAATACACTCAGCCCTGCAAAAAGGAATTCACAGTGTTGATTAATATAATGGAATAATGTATGACATTGTGAACCATACAATAGCAGCACATGAATTACTCTTTCACAAGTGAAGAAATCTCAAGCATTAAGCAATCATCAAAGGCCAAAATGGATATGGCGTGAAGTTATTCACATAGCATATAATCAGTATCAAATCAACTTGGCGAATTGAATATGAGAAGGAAAGTTATGGAAAGTTTCGATCATGTACAAGCACAGAGTAAGTTGAAAACACGTTCCAGACAAAATCATCATTATCCATGACAATCTTCAAATACAATCAGACCAAACCGGAAACTATTTCACAATAACAACTATGGCAAGAATCACAATCAATATGGCAAGTAATAATTCCTGAGGACACAATTCCAACATGTTGAGACAAAAACAGAAATGTATCAAAAATAATCCAAATACAATCAAGGCATTCAAACAACCCTCAAAGCATGTCTCAGACAAATCTAAAAAGGAAACTTGCAATTTAACGAATCAACAGCATTCAAAGCAATGATCCTATATAAAGCAAAGGGGGAGAAATTAGGGAGCATAGAGAAGAGACGACATTAGATCACTAAAAGAAAAATCTCCACGCACAAAGCAACACGCGCAAGAAATTTTAGAGACTAACACAAAGAGCACCCAGAATCACAGTTTTCATACACGTAAGAGGAAGAAACTAGAAGGACTTATCTTTATCGCCGATGTCGCTCACCGTAGGTAACAATTTCTTGCTCCTCCCTCCTTTTTCTTTCTCTAAAGTTATGCTTGGTCATGCTTATCTTCTCTGGATATCCTTGTTCATTGAATCTTCGACCTCCCTTTAGACCTTAGAAATTAGGTTTTATTTCAGGTTCGAAGTCGAGACGAAGTGTTAGGAAGAAAGTGGTATGAATCGTTCAAGAGGAGGAATTTTTGGTCAATCTTTGAACAAGAACAGGGTTGAGATCGTGGTGTTTGGAGCTCAAACTGGAGCTTGATGGTGGTCGTTCGCAGCAAAAGAGAAAGACAAAAGGGCTAGGGTTTCCATCTGTCTTTCATTTCCCCTTTTTACCAATTTGTATGTGGGTCGTGGGTCTCGGTTGGGCCTCGGTTTCCCGACCCAACCCCCTTTTTTTCGTTCTTTTTTTCATTCTTTTTGGATTGGGCTTCGTAGTAAGCCTAGTTTTGTTACACCCCCATTACTACTGCACTTTTTTTTTGCTTTTGTGTTTTATGTTTGATTTTATTAGTTTTTTTAGTTAGCTTTGATATTAGATTCTTTGATATTAGATTCTTGTTTGATTTTGATTTTCATTTAGTTATGAAATTAATCTGGACTCTAATTTTAATTAGATCTTAAATTTTGTTTTTAGTCTTAATCCTTTTACGTTGATTTTCTATTAAAACTTGACAATAAATTTGATATTTTTTAAGGATAATTTTTATCTAGATATTATGTTTTGATTTTGATCTTGATTCAGATTAATCCTAGTTATTAGTTGTAATTAAATCCCGATGAAAAACATATGATTTCGATTTAATTATTCTTCCCTATTTAACTTTGAACCTCTGTTGGATTGCTTTGGTGTTTGTCAGTTACTTTCAACAAATGCATTTATGGTTGTATAATTGTGATTCGCATGCATGTTCCCTTTGTTTCCTATCTTGATCTTTCAGTACTAAATAAGTTTTAGAATCAGTTTATCTATGATAACATTAGGCTAGAAATTCCCCGTTTGATTTTGACTTCCTGATCATCTTTGCTTGACCATATATATTGACACCCTACTCTACTTGATAATTATTCTATAGTCCTCAATCTTTATAATTGATCATGTTATATGTCCAAGGGAAGAACTTGTGTGTGACTCCATAAGTCATATGCACTGCATTATTCATTTGCATCATTCTCTTTCAGATCGATCAACTTAGGTTATCCTCTTTGTATCTTAAGATAAGATCCCCTTAAGTCTTCAGCTTAGACAACTTATAGTTAAACGCAAGACAATTAGACATGATTCATCTATGTAGTCGAGATATAATTCTCCTACCCCATAACATAATTGAGAAAGATGTAGAATATTTTCTGCTTGAGAGAGGTATGTGGCATAGTCGTAGATTAAATCCGTGTTGGATCCCTTCTTTCAATGAGACGCAAATACCGTCTTCCGCATTCTTGTGGTGGTTTAAGTTGAGTATTCTCCCTAAGATGACGACTTGTATCTTCTCCTAGAATCAATCAACAAACTTCTCCCCCTGAAACTCTAACTACAGTCAAGAGTTCCTCAATCCCTTTAGGGGAACTACGAATGCTCTAATTCCATTCTCGTCAGGATATGTAGGCACAAGATGTGACTTCTTGGCGAGCATACTTAGGAATAATACCTTAGGTATCTCTTTTATTTTCACCCTTTAGCAGACAAATAACAAATAACACAATAAAACAAGACGTTCTTGTAGAGTACTATAGATGCTTAGGATGTTAGTATCTTCCCTAAGTTTAAGCAACCCTCAAACCTTAGATTCTCTAGCATTGCATTACATTGCATACTCATGGGTTATTCGTTCTTTTTCCCTTCCCTCGGAAAAATTAAAAGCCGGTGGTGAATATAGACTTGCAATTCAAGTTAATTAATAGCTTGATATCCAATTCTCACTGCGACAGAAATGGAGACTTCATTGGGGACTTCTTGTTTATTTGTGTTTATTGTTGTATATCTATATGTATGTTTATCTATATATTTATTTATGCTTTGGGTCGTTATCTTTGTATGGTAAGATAAGTCCTACACCCGAACTTGAGTGCACATATGATAGGAAGGTGATATATTCGAGAAGGCTTGTAGGGAGTTGATTCCCATCCAAGCTAACTTGAGAGATCACCGCTCAGTTGAGGCCCTCTTGAGAATGGTTCTGTTGAACGAGTATTCGTGAAAACACTTACTGTTTTCGACCTAAGAGCTTGTGATACTGGGAACCTTTAGTTACCCTTAACCCAACTTGGCCTTTCTTAGGGCGTAGTGCGATGACAGTGAGGGAGTAGTCCCAAAATAGTTGATACGCGATGCTACACTCAAAAGATGTTCTCTTGAGAATATTATTAACTACCGAGTATTTGGGAAATTGATAATATCCGAGAGATGGACTGATGACTTTGGGAACTTTTAGAACCCCTGTTCTGCATGTACAATAAACCCTTAGTTCACACTATTTAGGATGGATAGACCCATACTTCATGCTCGTTGTTTTTCAAACCTAGGTTTTCTGTTTGCTACTGCGAAAATCGGCGTCGGCTGACAGAAGAGTCGCCACCGTGCGTTATTTATCCCAACGGAGGGAAAGGAAACGCTCGAAGTAAACCTCGCAAAAAACGGGAAAAGATATGGTCATCGTGTCGCTACTGCGAAAATCGGCGCCGGCTGACAGAAGAGTCGCCACCGTGCGTTATTTATCCCTCAGAGCGGGAAAGGAAACGCTCGAAGTAAACCTCGCAAAAAAAGGGGAAAAGGTATGGTCGTCGCAACCATAGCCTGGGTTCGGGAGTCGGTTACGCAAGGGGAAGGTATTAGCACCCCTCACGTCCGTCGTACTCGACGGGATCCACGCTTGCTTGGGTTGTCTACTGGATGCAAAACAATCTTATCTACGGCTGCTAAATCTAAACGGAAGGGAAATGACTCGATAGAGCGTCGCACTCTATGCCTACGTATTCTCAAGAGAGAAAGTCAGAGTCAACGTAGTTCGGGACTACGGGGAAAAATTGGCTCGCAAAGACCTCGCGTCTTGTGCCTACGTACTTCCACTGGATGGAAGATCAGAGCTTTACGTAGTTCAGACTAACTACGGCTAAACAAACATTCTCACACAGCAGTGAGAAAAACAACTGGTTTCACAGGGTCGGGAACCTATGGTCAAAACTATGGCTGAGTCTCAAATGCACTCGGGCAAGAGAGAAAAAAGGGTATCAATTAGTCGTCAGCGGGAAAGTCTCGATCGCACAGCCGCGAGAGAACAACAGGTTAGTCGTTAGTGTGCTCGCTAGGATATCGCATCCTATGCCTACATATCTTCGTCTGGTACGAAGAATCAGAGCAGCTGTAGTTCGGCTACTACGGGACCACAGCTCAAATCTCGTTTTATTAATCTCTGAAAAAATGATTACAATGAGTTGAATACTGAAATAAATCTCCTAGGAAACGCTATCCTATTCTATCCTGAAAAATCGAATGAAAATAACCCCCTAACAAATGGGCCTCTAATTCTATCCCTAAAAGGAAAATAACTTCTATGAAAAACCTAAAAGAAAATGCTTTAAAAAATATTAAACCTACTTTAATATTTTTTTCTCTTTTTTCTCCTTTTCTCTTTAACATATTTTTTCATATTTTCTTATTGAATATTTTTCTCTATTTTTTCATATTTTTCAAATATGTTTCTTTTCACTTCTTTTTTCTATTTTTCAAATATATTTTCTTTTCACTTCTTTTTTCTATTTTTTCAAATATATTTTCTTTATTTTTTCTTTTTTTATAATCTTTTTCTATATTCTTTTTTTTTCTCACTTTTCTTTTCTTATTTTTCTTTTTTCACAATTTCTTTTTGAATATTTTCTTTTCATTTCTTTTTTCTATTTTTCAAACATATTTTTCTTTATTATTTCTTTTTTTTCTATAAACTCTAAACAAAAGAAAGAAAAGAAAATAAAAAGTACAACAAAGAAAAGGGAGGGGGGTACACTGTCTACAAGGGGTGTTAACACAGCAAAAAATAAAATAAAACAGAAGGGCCCAGCCCAAGTTTCTTCAGAAAAACCGCAGGGGGCGTATTGTGTAAACTGGGAGTATGCCAGAAATTAGCTTTATTGGGCCCAAGGCCCAGAACTTGTCCAAAAACGGAGGGGCGTGTGCCAAAAAAAATGAACTGGGCCCTGAGGCCCACTCTCCTCTCCCAAGTCCCTTTCTGAAAGAAAGAAACCCTAGTCTTATCTCCTTCCTCACGGCGCCGCCGCCGCCGTCCACTGAACTTCTCTTCTCCGTCTCTCTCAAACTCCCTCGTCTCTCTTTTGTTCTTCTGAAACTTCATCCCAACCTTCTTCTCAACATCACGCTCACTCACAACAAACACCAAACTTCTAACTTCTCACGATTTGCTTAATCAAACCGAATAAACACCAAACTTCTTCAAAGCACTCGAAGACTCTCGAAGATGCCCTAGATGAAGACGACAATGCAAAGGGAAACTACTCGCGGATAACAACGTCACCAAAGATTATTGTTAAGAACCTGGAGATTTGAGGGGTTATTTCGCATCATCTGATGATTCTGAGTGCAGTGGACATCTCGTATGAAGATCTGTGAATCTGACGATTGGTGACGAATGTTCTTCATCATTCTTGAGGATGATCATTGGGGGCTCGGATTCTTGATCTGGAGGCTTGCTGAAGGTCGGTTGAAGGATTTGAAGAAGAAACGTTGAAGTTTGATGAGGAGTTTCTGAAGATGATGAACGTTTCAAGATTTCTGGGAAATCTTTGATGATTTATTGGTGAGTCTTGATGAAGGTGTTCTTGCGACGATGGGACTCCACGAAGAGTGTTCGCTGATGAAGGTTGAAAACGTTCCTGGTTCGTTCTGGGAATGATGAGCGTTCTTTCGTGGCGTGTTCTTGACGAATGTGACTGGAGGATGCATGTTCGTTGCTTGCAGATAACAATGTTAATAAAGAAACTCAACAAACATCTGGAGATCTTGAGGATGCATGCTCCGATGAATATTTCTGGATTCTTCGTCGAAGA